GTCACAATATAACGATCTCAGAATTTGTCCTTTTCAGTTCATTATTATTAAAATTATTACTTACATGTTATAATTATAACTTTAAGATTTTATATTTATTTTATCTATGTTTACCCTTTGAAACTCTACGTAGTTGATCTGTGAATCAAATTACTCTTAAATTATTATCTTAATATTTTTAAAAATTATCACTAATATAATATATGAGTTAAATTAACATTTTAAAGCTCTTTGTTCATTCTAATACTGTCAAAATAATGAAGTGCACGGAGATTTTAGCCTGGTATTAAAATTTTAGCATGGTTTCATGGAACACTAAATGAATTAAAAAGACAAAATAGTCTAATCATTATATTATTCCTCTGCGTTGCTTGTCAAAATCTTGATCACAATTATTATTAGTATTACATTTTTGGAAGAGCTAGCAATTTCTAATTTTCTAATTGGAGAAAAAAGATCACATTGATCGCCGCAACACATTCCCCCATAAGTGAACCAAGCATTCACATCGTGATCTTCACGTTGATCTAAGGATTTTGTGATAGTTAAGTGTAGTACAATTACTTTTGTTCGTAGGGAGGGACAACATAGTCATTTGTTATTATGTCGTGGAGGGCACTTTGGGGTTTGAACATATCACAGGCGCACTCCATAGTCACATATTCGGGATTTCGTCCATTATTGAATTGAATTGAAATTTTAATTTAATTTAATTATCTGTCAAACTCTTGTCACTTAAAACGGAAAAAATAACATGGATTTTAAAATTTTCAGAAAGATCTACACCGGTAAAGAGATATAGGAAAATTTCAACGGATTTCTCAATTGGTACAGGAAGTTTGTTGAGAATTTCCTGTTACGTGGGTAGCAAGCCAACCTTTTGAAAGCATCGTTGATTTTGTTTTTATTTTTTGCAATAGTAGCATGTTCTGTTACCCGTTACGCAGAAACTGCAAAAATCAATTGCGATATTAGACCACATTCTCCAACTGTGAAATGAAACTCATGATTTTTGATCGGATTGTGGCAAATGGAAATGCTCTTGAAAAGAATAACATCAGCCGATTTGGTCCTTTCTGTTCTTTAATGATTTAATAAGCAAGTTAACATTATTCTAGAACCGAGGATCTTTACCTTCATAAGGTAGGGGTAAGGTCTGCGTACACATTACCCTCTCCAGACGCATTTGTGAAATTTCATTTGATTTGTTATTGTTGTTGTTGTTGTTTGTTAGCGGGTTAATATTGTTAGTTAATTCATGAGACCATTAGTATAAGGAATTATTTGCTTAAGAGTCAACAAAAATTCGAATTATTAAGTTAAAATGATTAATTATTTATTACAATGTTAAATAATTCCATGATTTACATGAGCGTAACTTAATTACTAAGGACCTGACATTAAACTTAATTAAGTAAGTGATTTGTATGATAGTTGAATAAATTCTAGCAAAACTTGTTCCGGGTGGTTATTCAACTGAAGAAGCTAAAGTCAACAGTTTAAGCTGTGCTCCAAAATAAATAAATAAATAAAGTTGTTTTCATCTAACCATTTTAAATTTACACGATAATAAAATTGAATATAGATTATTATTACAGTAAAAACGCTTAATATTAAAAGTCTTATTTTGGCTAGTATTATATGTTTGCTTATGCTGGTCAAAGTCTACTGTATACCCCAAATACTATCATTCCAATAGAACGTCTTATTCATTTGAATTTATATACATTTCATGCTTTAATTTCTTCTCAGTTAAGAAAATGAAACTACGTCGAAGACGAAATATTAAGGATAACATAAATCAAACTCGTATTAAACAGCAGATGATGCGGCAATGTATTTGTCATGCACTTTAATTCTTGTTGAATCCCTGTTCGAAAGAGTTAGTTGTGATGTACGTTAATTATTAAAGACTTTGAATTAGAAGATTTTGTTAAATAATTCATGACGACTTCAATTGCTGTGACAGGTGACTTTTTTTCTTTTTCTTTTTTTTTTTCCGTTGAGACAGATGACTTTTTATTTTGTCTGATTCAAAGGCTTTTGACGCTAAAAATAGGAAACGAATAAATTGTTCCGTCAAAGAACTATTGAAATATATTATATCACGAAAATGCTGAAAATTATTTGGCAGCAATGGTAGAAGAAATCATTTTCACTTTCTAATACTGTTGAAATTCGCATTTAATGGGATACCCGTATTTACTTAATCCTCTACTTCCCTAGAATATCCCAATTGTTGGTCCGATTTATTTTAGGTGGGTCTTTTTTATTTTTACTACTCTCTCCGTTTACTTTTAGTTGTCAAATATTCTAAAAATAAATTTTCATTTTTACTTGTCACTTTTCATATATCAAGCGAAAAATAATTTATTTTTCTTGTTTTGTCCTTAGCATTAATTACTCATTCCAAATAATTTTTCAAATCTATTAAAACTATACATCAATTAATATGAGTATCATGGTAAATTATGCACTTTATTTATTATTTCTTAATGGGTGTACAAAGTCAATAGTGGACAAGTAAAAGTGAACGGATGGAGTAGTAAATTATGGTGAAATCATAACTTCCACACGGACAGTAGAAACAAAATGCTCTCTGCTAGAAATAAAAAACTGAATTCTATCTTTTCCCAAATAATCTAAAGCAACTTTTTTTTATATTGAATATTCATAAAAACATGTTTGTAGTATAATTTGGAGAAATTCCATGTTTAACTTGAACAAACGTAACCACTAAGGACTTGACCTTAAAATAAGTGATTTTTATGTATTTAAATTCGATAAATGATAAACAAAACTTATTACTCGTGTCCGGCTATTCAACTTTTAAAAGAGCTAAAGTCAGCGGTTTTAGCCAAATATAAAAAATTTAACTATATACATATGATCCATCTATCAACCAAAAAATAAGAAAAGATCAATCCATTTTAATTTCTTTCTATCAATCTAACGATGATATTTAACACAACTGAATATAGCTTATATGATTATATTAAAATCCTTTGTACCTAAAGTCTTATGTTTGTTCGTAATATATGTTGCCTATGCTGGTCAAAGGCTAATGTATAACCCAAACTTATTTCTCTCTCAGACAGTCTTGTTTATTTGACTTTACTTGCAGGAAGGTTTCATGTTTTCTTCTCCGTTAAGAAAATAAAACTACGTCGAAGATAATGAAAAGAAACATTACTCAAGCTCGTCTTAAACAACAGATGATGGGGCAAATATATTTGTCGCTTCTCTTGAATCCGGGTTCGAATTAGCAGTTAATTGTGACTTATTATTTTAATAGTTAGAATTTGAATCGAAGATTTTCATTATTTAATACATGCTGACGCACTGTGATTTTGAGTGAAATAATGACCTCTCTCTTTTTGAGAACAAGTGAGCTTTTTTTAATCTGATTCAAAGGCATATACATTTGTCTCCTTAAACGATTAAGTTGTCTGGTCATAGAAGTGAAGAACTAATTTAAAGTACATTAATTATGTCCGCGGACAAATTTAGCAGTAAGGGAAGAAGCAATTGTACACTTTCTAATGTGGAGATCCGCATTTGACGGCTAATGTGTATTTACTATTCCTCTGATTCCCTTGAATATCCCAATAATTGGACAGAACTCTATCTTAATTCTTAGGTAAGGGAAGCTCACCCGTCCCCGCAAAAGGTGTATCTTCTCAATATTGTAGCAAGCTAACATCGGATCTACGGTATCATTGCGTAGTGAATTGCTCGTTTCGGTCCCCAAATTATCAAATCTTCACCTTTCAAAAAATTATAAATCCAGGTATTCCGACTTACTTTTTGTTAAAACTCATGTATAAAAAATGCATATTAATTGGTTTTTATCGTGATCTATATTTTTTCGTGATTGTTTTGTGATTTAATTAAATTACTGTTTTTTATCCGGATTACATTATTGTTGTGATAAAAAATTAGTAAAATAGTTAAATTATTATTTTATGAATAATTAATGTTATTAGTTGTTATAAAAAATATTTATTAGTTATTTTTTTACAGTGGTATGTATTTCCGTGATTGTTTTATGATTAAATTAATTTATTATTTTTTATCCGGATTAGATTATTTATGTGCTAAAAGATTAGTAAAATAGATAAATTATTATTTTATGAATAATTAATGTTATTTAGATTTTATTGTTGTACATATATTAATATGTGACTTTATTGTTGTTTAGTGCCCTTTAGTATTATGTTGTGCCCGTAATTATAATCTAGTGCCTTTTAGCGTAGTAAAATGTAGTGCCCTTTAGCGTAGTATCTTTGTAGTTATTAAAATTAATCATTTAATTATATGTTAACCCCAAAAATATTTAAAAAAAAATGATAGTTCAAACACAAACTCTCTCAAATGTTAGTCAACAAATGTAAGAAAATAACATAAAAATAAAAATATTTGTCAAACTAAGTATTTTTATATGAATACTTATTAATTATATCATGTATAGTTATAAAATAAGAAACAAACATAAAAAGTAATAAACTAACATATAAAATATTAAACTAATATACAAAATAAAAAACTAAGATATAAAATAATAAACAAACATATAAAATAATAAACTAATATATAAAATAAGAAACAAGCATATAAAATAATAAACTAACGTATAAAATAATAAACTAACATATAGAATAATAAACTAACATATAAAATAATAAATTAATATATAAAATAATAACCTAACATATAAAATGATAATATAGAAAATATATAACTTAAGTAATAATTTAGTAAAAAAATCGATTAAATATTAATATAAAAATATTGCAATATATTTAAAGACGTTAAGCAATCAAAAAAAAAATATTTTAATTAAAATTGTTCAATTTACAAACATTGCCATGGAGGTCCCCCCTATGCATCCCGGACCTACATCTCGAGAGCTACTGTTGCTACAGGGCAACCATAAATCTTCATACAACTGGGATGGGTAGTGTTTGTCCCGGACATTCTGCCTTAGACGTATAGATGATATGTGGGAGTTTATTAGGGACCACCCACTTTATCCCCGTATAGTTAGAATCCTTCAGGATACGGGTTTCTCCTGGATCATAGAGATCGACCGGTTGCAGATCGACTGGGCGTTGATCACAGCTATGATAGAGCGGTGGCGACCGGAGACGCACACGTTTCATCTACCCATTGGCGAGGCTACCATCACGCTTGAGGACGTGGAGGTTCTCTTCGGGCTGCCGGTTGATGGAATACTTGTAGCTTACCCGCATGCTCCTAGAGACTATAGGGGAGTGCATTACCAACATATATTGCAGCGACTCATCGATTTCCAGTCAGCGGAGGAGACTGCATTAAGTGGGGCAAGTCGATTGCAGATGACGCCCGCCCGGCAACATCTGGCGGCAATGGATGCGGAGATTATGGATGATTCACCAGCGGAGGATATCGACTGGCACACGAGATTGTTGTTGCTGCTAATGTTTGGTGGTGTAATGTTCCCGAACACTTCGGGAAACCTAGTGAGCTTGAGATTTCTACACCATCTGGAGCGGCTAGATGATTTACCTAGTTACAGCTGGGGTGCAACTGTTCTAGGTTACCTGTATAGGCAGATGTGCCGGGCGTGCATGGGCACCTAGAGAGACGTTGCCGGATTTTTACCGTTGCCGCAGGTGAAAACATAGTCAATTCTTTTCATGATTATAACATACATAGTAAAAATATACCTTAAATTTTACGTCCACAATCTATATTAGGTTTGGGCATGGGAGCGGTTCATGCAGTTCCAGCCACCTCTACCACCCGATGGCTCCGGATGCACCACCTCCACCGTTTCTCCCTTTTGCTTGGAGGTGGGTTGATAGGCGGGGCTACGTACGTGAGTTCGAGACTCGACATCATCTCCCCTATTACAGGGATTTGTTGGATTTGCTTGAAGGCGCGCAGGTACATGTATACTTAAGTTTATTTGGCCTGGCTTTATATGTATTGCGTTTGCTTGCGATTCCTGTGTTTAATTAATAGTTTGTATGGAGCCCATACAGCGACGCGCTCATAGCTGGTTTGACCGATTATTGCTCCCGCGACCGAGCTATGTGGAGCTCTTCTATCCCACTAATATGTCTCGATATTGACGAGCATCATGCCACTGATCGAGTCCTTTGCCAGTTTGGTCGACCGCAACTTGTACCTATTCCGCCCACTTGGCTTAGGACACATTACCACCGGGATGATCGACCAGGGTTGACCAGACATATTTGGCCTGGCTAGAGGCCCAGATTGAGGTTTGGGACCAGAGGTATGACCTGATTCTGCCACCCCTTCCACCTGAGCGTACGGATGGCGAGCATGAGTATATGGGTTGGTATCACAGCGTTACCTGACTTTTCGTCAGGAATCCCGTTCATCGCGCTGGTGGTTGGTACATTCCATACGCCGGGAGACATGAAGCATTAGTATGTTATTTGTTATACTTACTTATAATGTTACATTATCCTTCTGTAATTAATATTTAACATGTTATGCAAGCTATTGGCTTACATCAGTTCTACCAGTTGGGACTGCAGATGCTGTAGTATACCGGCGAGGGAGCGACAACTTTACATGGGTATGGTCGTCGGGTTACTGATCTTGCTGCCGAGACATTGAGATGTGCCCGAGATGATGAGCGCTTAGGATACGAGGCTGCTTATGTGCCGCCAGAGGAGTACCATCATGGGCCACTAGTGGAGCCTGAACGTGGTAGACGTGGCAGGTGTGGGCAGAGAGGAAGGGGTATCCCACGAGGTCATTGTGTTCGGCGAGGACAGGGTCCCCAGCAAGGAGGCGTTGAGGCAAACATGGACGATATTAGAGATGATCAACCGGGTGACCATCCTGAGCCACACGATGCTCATCATGACATGTCGTCATTCAACCTTTAGTTGTCGCCAGGGACTTCGCACGTGACCCCGTCAGCTTCATTATTGATCGCGGGCACGACCATTACATGACATGAGTGGGATTAGTATTTTCCTGATCCCCTAGATCCATCGACGGTTGCTCATTCTTGTCCGACACGAGAGGTGCATAGTGGGAGATGACTGAGTTATGGCTCATCACTGAGGGATGATGAGGATCTAGCACATACTTCATCTACTCCAGTGCACCTCGATGTTCCGACAGAGCCTTGCAGCGTTACTCATGCGCATGTTTGTTTGTATTACTATTGTTTCTATTTGTTTTTATCTCATTGATTAGTCAGTAATATCTAAAGCATTTTTATTTTTTTAAAGACATCGTCATTGCCCGTCACGGAGGCTGCATTGTGCGATACTGACATGCCGGAGACGGATGATCTTATTTAGGAGCCCGTTGAGACCATGGTATGACCATTAAAAAGAATTTTGCTAACACGTATGTTAGTAATTTATATTTCATATAGTAAAATATCTTATTATTTTGTACGTTACTGCCGGCCCGACGGCCGCTTCTACCGAGTCTGCCAGCCTTACCGACGATCATGCTGCAACGCATCCTCCGATAAAGAGGCGACATGATGAGGATGATATTGATAGCGTAGTCGGGCGGGATGGGATGCGCCTCAAGCCAGCCAATGCTTTAAAGCATACAGGCTGTGGGACACATTGACATTTATTATTACTTGTATATATGACATTAAATATATAATAGCAACATTATTTATGTTTTACATAATTTGCGCATGTGTTTTTATTTCTCGGGTTATTTATTAGTTTAACACTAGAACACAAAAAAACAAATGACAACTTAACATAAAATTTAAATTTGTTACCAATTAAAGATAATACATGACACGCAACATAAAAATAAAATTCTACACTCAACGCATCAATGTGTTTGTTTAGTCACTATCGTCCATTATTCTGTGCTTCAACCACTTAAATTTCTCCTTCAACCTAGTTTTTTCTTCTTCTGTCTCTTTTAGTTTCTCCTGCAATGCCGCAAGTTATTCTTGTAGTTTCACGATCTAGAGTTCGTATCCACCGATCAGATTCTAAATATTTAGCAAACATGATTTGTAGTATTCCTGATTAATGGGTTCATCATACCATTCATCAAAACCACATTTCTTTTCGTCCTACCAATGAGAGAATAACACAAGACTATTAATTAACATGTTATATAAAAAGTATTAACAGACATTTCTTCCAAGAATAATAACTTACAACTTGTTTACACATCCAACGTCTGCGCCCCAAATTGCAATTTGACCAACATGGCTTCAAAATCGCACGTTTGCCACAGTAACACCTTGGTACGAAATTGCGTCCAAACATGTCGTAATGCTCGAAAATGAAAAATTAATGGAAAGTTTTTCTATTCGTTTCGTTACGACGAAAATAATAACTACAATGCGCGAGGTTTTTATAGGCAGCTAAGATTGATTTTAGGTTACATAATGCATATTGGTGAGGCGCTATGTTTCGCGTGATAATGATTCTTTCGGGTACAAGTGGGTCCAGCTTTTTAAGACCGACAACTTTTTCAGGTCGATAACTTTTTCAGGTCGACATGACAATACACATAGCGCATATTGGTGAGGCTCTATGTTTCGCGTGATAATGAAGTGGGTCCAATATTTCATGTCAACAGCTTTTTCAGGTCGATATGACAATACACATAGCGCATATTAGTGAGGCATTATGTTTCGCGTGATAATGATTCATTCGGGTACAAGTGGGTCCAGTATTTCATGTCAACAGCTTTTTCAGGTCGACATGACAATACACATAGCGCATATTGGTAAGGCACTATGTTTCATGTGATAATGATTCGTTCCGGTACAGGTGGGTCCAACTTTTCATGTCAACAACGTTTTCAGGTTGGCATGACAATACACATAGTGCATATTGGTGAGGCGTTATGTTTCACGTTCGTACAGGTCAACATGCAGATTAGTTCTTCTTTAGTTGAACCAAGAGATCAATATTCAAATACTATTTGAAGAACCAGTACAACTTATTAAATGCACTAACATTTAATAAGTGGTTTACGAATAGGCAAAAAGGTGAAGGTAGTTCAAAAGATCCAAATGGAACACGTCATAACACAATCGATCCCTACCTTTAAAAAAATATGCTAGGTTGCTATACTAATTTGGTTGATGACAAGTGGTATGGTGTTCTGCGTCCCTTGGAAAATAAGCCTATCAATATACACATTGATCTCAAAGTGTAGGGCACATTATTGAGGGCGAAACGCATTCTATAAAGCCTGAAGGTATGCGGATTTGGGGAGAAAAACTACAATGGATTCCCCTTTATTCAAAACGATGTGATTATGAAGTACTATGTCACTGACATGGGCTTGTTGTACCACAAACACCATCTGCATCCTTCCAAACAAACACACACAAAGATGAACCAGAAGTGATTCGGCATCTGATGAAGGATATTCTAGAGATGGAAAAGGTACTTGTTGTTCATGATGCAATGGATGATCGAATGGGAGGGACTACCTAAGTTTCTACCACAAACGTTGGATGTAGGAGTCCCATATTGTTGTAGAAATCAAGCAAGTGGTCTTATTGATGATAGCGATAAAATACAAGAAATGTGTATCAACTGGGGCCTAGATTACAATGCCCTTGGTCCCGAAGGGTGCGTACAAGATATTGACGAAGAAGATGAAGATGGTGACAATGAAATAGTGCCAAACAACGACGATAATGGCGAATGACAATTGTTTTTTATTCCTTGGGGTATATGTTAAATTATTTTATTGAATCTTTAATGCTAAATATCAAGTAGATTTAACCCTATTGGAAACATAATTTTATTTCATACATTTTGCAACCTGAACATTTACATAAATTTAGTATAACAAAATTACTCCAATAAAACACTATGTTTATCCTTGATAATTGGGCATATTGGATGAACTGCCACCTGGAGCTGAATTACCACCGCTTCCCAAACCATATGAAGGATATTTACGGCGGTCGTGTCCTGTTTGGGAACATATGCCGCATTTACGTGCATAAACGGTATCACCAACATCCATTTAGTTCCGTAGATACGTTCTTTTTTGCACTTGCTGTTGACGCGCATAATCCTTGTTTCACACCATTTTAAATGGTTCCAGCGACCAATAATACTCAGCACCCACTGGATGCAATTATCAATTATAGGTGTTTAAGTATGCAGCAACATTATATTCTTTATCAACGTACCTCGTTGCCGTAAAACCTGTATGTTAAAAGCACTTCATGGCATATGAGCATGGCAAGTGATTGATTGACCATTTTCCACAGGAGCATAATCTTCTGGCTTCATTGATGGTGTGTGTATTATTTTCATGGTTGTGATGCATACCAGTGCGAACTTCAAAAATATTTCGCTCGCTGCAATACTGCAAAAATAAATGCCAATGTGCTCGCTTCCTATATTTCTCAAATAGTTTCATTAGTTGTGGCATAAATTCAACACCCCTTTCCATCAATGACGATGCACCTCTAGATCTTTCAACAAACATCTCCACCTTCTGCTTGAATGACATCCACACCATGTCCTTGACTGGCAATCCACGTACAGACTTCAATAACCCATTGAAAGACTATGACATATTTGTAGTCAGAATTTCCCATCTTCTACCACCATCCGCATGCAAAGTCCACTTGTCAAGCTCATGTCGCATCAACTAACGATAGCATTCTGGGTCTTCCTGCCTAATCAATTCCATTCGCCTCCTGAATTTACACTCTTGGTGATCTGTTGCAGCCATCCACATTAAATCATGCAAGTCCTTGTTCGGATAAGCCCTCTGGAAGTTGGCCTTCAAGTGCCTAACATAGTAACGGTGGTAGGCATACAGTTCCTGCCTTGCATGCAAATTCTGTACAAAACTTAAAATACCGCCATGCTGATTAAATATTAGACAAATACCCGAACGTTGTTTGACAACATGCTCCTTCAAGTGGTTCAAAAACAATGTCCACATCTCTTGGCTTTCATTGTCACAAATAGAAAATGCTAGGGGAAATATACTTCTATTAGCATCTACAACAATAGCGATCAACAACTTAATATCATACTTTCCATAGACACGAGTGCCGTCTATGGATATTACCGGCCGACAATGCACAAAACCATCAATGGTTGGTTTAAATGCCTAGAATACATATCTGAATATGTATTCTGGTATTCTCGGACTCTGCTCAAGGTTCCATTCAACAACAACCCCGAGGTTAAAGTGTTGTAATGCAGCCATGTACCTGGGTAGAGCGGCAAATGACTTATCCCAGTTACCAT